AACAAAAACCCCAAAAAAAAAAAAAAAAAAAAAAAAAAAAACCAGGGGGCTGCATGGGAAGTTACAGATGGAAAGGGGTGACCGTGTTTAGCTAAAGTAGGTTAAGGAAGGCCTTTCTGAGGAAGTGGTATTTAAGGTAAAATCTTAAGGTTAAAAAAGAGCAGGCCAAGGCCCGGAAGGGAAGAGGAAGAAGAGTGTGTGGGTGGAGGGAATGGGCTGTGCAAAGACCCCGAGCTGGAAAATGTCTGAAGCCAGCCTGGCGTGAGTAATGTGCAAGGGTAGGCAGGGTCCAGATCCCACCAGGCCCTGCCTACTCTTGTCGGGCATGGGGATCCTATTGGGGCTTAGTAAATGTTTGCTAATTGACTAACTGATCATGATGGCAGGTAGGGGGAGGGAGGGGTGAGCAGAGAGCAGAAGGGAAAGAACTACCCTGTGGCCTCTCTCTCCAGGACAGGAGTAGCCCAGCACAGCCATAGCCTGAGGCTCTAGGCAGGCTTCCAAGGTCTGCCTCTGTTTCCCCATGACCAAATGTGCTGACTCTGCCTTGGCCCAGCAATTGCTAATATTCCTTACTCAGACTTGCAGAGCAAGGTAGGCACCAGCGTACGAGTCTTGAGCACCCATGATGTACAAAGCACTGCGCTCAATGTTCGAGCCTGACCCGGGATTCCCAAAGCCAGAGGTCCACCCAGGGGGCCTACTGTACTCCAGAGCTCTCAGGCTGAGAAGAACGCTCCCCTCCGCACCCCAAGCACAGAACCAGGCTCAGGAAGCTCTGTGCTCCAAAGGAACTGCCAGCCCTGGTTCTGTGCTTGCCCCTTTCCAGTAACCCGGAACCACACCTTGGAAGGTGGAAATTTGGGAAGGAGAGAAAGAAGATGAAGCTGAGTTCTCACCTAAGTCCCACTGCCATTCTCCAGCTAAGTATACTGAGGCCAGGACAGAGGCAGTCAGTTTACCACGCCACCTCGTCCATGCTGACACCTGCTTGTTTCTCTCCTTCCTGTGCACACGTGTGTGTGCACGCACCCACACACATCAAGCTGCCCAGGGAGGACCGCTCATCCCCTGCCCATAGTGTCTCTGAAGCTGCCTTTCCAACCCAGCAGGCCCCAGCCCAGCTGACTCAGCCAAAGGCCAGACCCAGACTGGGAAAAACACAGCACTGCTGCTGGCCAGTCCTTCCCTGGGCTGGCTCAGAGGAAGTAACTTGCTGTTGACCCTAGGCCAGTGGATGGCGTCCCTCAGCTGTGCAGAGGGTGGACCAGTCCCTGCTAAGGTGAATGCTGCTCATGTTGGGGCACTGCTGGTGGAAAAGGGGCATGACGACTGCTGCCACAGCCAGAGCTGGCTCCAAAAGGGCAGGGAGGGGGTCACGACTTAAGACCAGTGCCATGAGGATGGCCCAGGATTCCCCTGTGTGATCTGGCAAGCCGCTTAACCCCTCTGAGCCTCAACGGCCTCATTTGTAAGATGAAAACAGCAAAAGCGACCTCAAGTGCACAAAGCCCATGGCACAGAGTAGGTGCCCGGTAAGTGGTAACGATGGTATTATACCACCTGCCTTCCTGAGGACTGCTCGGTGATAATGTGCTGGGTGCTAGCATCGTCATGAATAAGACAGAAAATCCCTCGCAAAGGAAGTCCTGGTCTTCAGGGTGAGTGGACTTATTGTCTCCGAAACCCCACCACAGCTTCCTTGCAGACATGTCCTCAACACCTACCCCAAGTCAGGCCCTGTAAACACTTTAAACTGTACTCTCAATAACCTGGGTGGACGCTATTTTCCTCCCTGTGTTACAAATGAGGAGACTGAGGTCCAAGGAATTTCAGCAGGGCTAGCCGGTGACATGGAGGCTAAGACACTGGATCCCACATGGCCAACTGTGCAGTTCACCTGCAGCTTGAAGGACACGTCGGGCACCTGTGTGTGCATACCCCAAATCCTGAGAGGACAGTGGAGGGGAAGGGACTGCAGCGAGTACCGTGCTCATCCCCACTGGGGGCCCTTTCTCACTTTCCCTCCCTCTTCCTCTCTCCACAGCAAGGGCATCTGCCTTACAGCAAAATTATTTTTAATTAAAGAAAGAAAATTTCAGTCACAGGAATCCACATCAAGACCTGATCCTAGGTACTGTGTTAGTTCCACTTCTCTGGATTCTGATTTCAAAGTTCGTATCTTACACCCATACTCCCCTTTCACCTAATTTCTGCCGAGTCCTCTCTGGGTCCTTCCTGGAGAGCCTCCCCTCACCACACCTTCCTCCTTGCTGAGCCTGTAGACGCTCTGTGTGCTCCATCTCTCTCTGGCCAGGAACTGAGAAGGTGCACAGCAAATGCAGACCTCTGCTGGGTAATGGCTCCCTACACTCCTGCACCGCCCCAAACCCTCACCCCATCTCTGCTGCCTCTTATAGATGGCCCCCTACACTCCTGCACCGCCCCAAACCCTCACCCCATCTCTGCTGCCTCTTATAGAAAATGCTCCTTTTCTTTAAGAATTTTTATTTAATTTTATTTATCATCTTTTTAAAAAGATTGTTACAGGGCACATACGCTCACCAGAGAGAGACAGAGACAGAGAGAGAGAGAGAGAGAGAAATCAAGCCACCAAGTCAAGAGACTTGAATCACAGTAAGCCATGTGGGAGTCCAGACCCTTAACTACTATGCCACCTGCAGGCCTGAAAATGCTTCTTCAGGGGCCAGCAGGTGGCGTAATGGTTAAGGGGCTGGATTTCCACATGGCTGATCATGGTTCGAGTCCTGGATCTGGTGGCTTGAAACTCACACCAGACATGTGTACATGTGTGGGCAAAATCCTGAGAGGAGAATAGAGGAGAAGGGATTGTGGTGTGGTCATCCCCCTAGGGGGTGATTTCTCACTTTCTTTCTTTCTCTAGTGAGCATACATGCCCTATAGCAAAAATCTCTAAAAAAAAAAAAAAAAAAAAAAAAAAAAAAAAAAAAAAAAAAAAAAGA